ACGCTAGAAAGAGTGAGGCACAGGTGCCTCCTGAACAGCATTGTGATGACGTATCTAAAAGCAATTATTATCAGCTCGCCGGTATGTGAATCCAATTAATCGCCTCTTCCTTCTGTCCCCTCCCCGGCTTTGGCAAGCTTTTACCGCAAAGAGTGGGTCGCATCCCTTCGGTAAATGAGATAGCCTTCATTTTGTCATATTGGACACCCTCCCCTCAATTTTTCAATTTCGGTGCTCTTGCCATCCCCTAATATCCATGCACAACATTTTCTTTTTGGAAAGGCCGATACCCGACCCTTCGGGTCTGCCAGTTTTTTCTTTTTCTTTTTCCCCCCCAATTCCCTTTCCCCCGTTCATGTCACGCACGCAAAAGGCGAAGCGAGCCCAATTCTCGAGTACCGGTGAACCGGTTTTGCTCGCACTGCTTCCACGCGAATGTTACCACGCCTTATATTGATCGGCTTTTGACTTAATTACCACTCGTACTTCTGTTATCTAGGCCCTCCAATATCCGATTCCCTGAATAAGCCTTTTCCGCAACATTGCCCGAAAAGCCCTGACCCCACTTCTGGAGGATCAGTACGAGTAAGGGCCCGTTCCGTCAATCAAACCTTGAAACGCTCTGTGACGGGAATTGATTCCGCCATCCGTGCCAAGCGGGCCAAGATAACTAATGTCCATGACACCAACAAGACTTCCCCCACCAGAAGTCCCGGTCACGTGGAAGTTGGTAAATACCGAGATTTGAGGACACCGGGCGAGATAATGTTTGTGAGGTCTCGAATGTTTTATTCAAAGCCTGCCTATAATGCCCGTGGGGAGGTCGTTTTTGGCCTACGTCATATACGTAGGTCCTCGGTCGATTGTCGCTTTCTGAGTGTCATCCCCCTGCTAAGAATAAATTGAATATATGTGATGTGTACTAGATGTTCTCAATCGATTCCCCAATCCTTCGGATAGAGCCCACGCAATTCATGTGTTGAGATACATATTCCCGAGGCAGTTCAACCTCCATAATGTCTTTACATCAACAGTGGACAGGAAAGAAACCATACAACCGCTCAAGGATTATACTCTTCGTGAAAATGAGATCGCGCTCCAAGGTGGAAAGGGGTCGTTCATTCCCAAGAGGTTGAAGGGGAAAGCGTTCGAATTGGTGAAGAGGATGATGAGGCTACATAGGAGGTGTTCATATCATGCGTTGATCGAGTATTATTGTCCTGTTTGGGTATTTCTTCTTCTGGTCTCCTCTTCACTCGGATGACATACTGATAGTATCTGTTTCAAAGTTATGTGATAAGGGTGCCCCTGATACCCGGGTTTCCATACCTCATGTAAAAAAGGTTATTGGCAGTGATACGAGCAAGTTCGTTTCCCAAGCTCCCTTCCCTTCCTCGATCTCGAGCGGAACGACCTCTTCATCAGATTTATCCCCCTTGAAGCCGAAAGAGAGTTTTACAGACTTTGCATCCTCGACTGGTGAGGTTTCCGCGTTTGCGAGAGCAGTGATTTTAAATGTTGTTCCCACAGAATTCTGGGGAAGCGAGGAGAATAAAAAGGGTTTTATGAGGAACGTGGATAGATTCGTTAATCTAAGAAGATATGAGACTTTGTCATTGCACGAGGTTATGCAGGGCATGAAAGCAAGTTTTTTCTCACCAGCCCACCGCGTTATCAACTAACTAACTAACGGGTTGCGTAGTTAACCGACCCCGCCTGGCTTTGCCCACCTAATACCAAGGACAGAAATCTCTCGCAGTCGGACTCGCTCAAGCGCACCCAGATACTTTCGGAGTTTGTATACTACCTTTTCGACTCGCTACTGATACCTCTCCTCCGTTCGCATTTCTATGTGACTGAGTCGAATATCCACCGGAACCGTGTTTTCTACTTCCGGCACGATGTCTGGAAAAAACTGTCTGAACCAACTATCAACAAGTTAAAAGTGGAAATGTTTGTGGAATTAAAGAGCGATCAGGCGAAGCGAATTTTGGATAGTAGAAAGTTAGGCTTTTCAACCGTAAGGCTATTGCCCAAGGAAACGGGGATTAGGCCAATCATGAACCTAAGGAAGCGAGGCATGGTAGTGGAGCGGGGAAGGACTATACTTACACAGAGTATCAATTCGGTTATGACACCGGTGTTTAATGTTTTGTCTTTTGAGAAGGTGTGCTTGTCTCTTTGATCTTGGTTGGTGCTCTAAGCGCGCGCCGGTTGGTTATTGTCGAGCACTCCAGTGAAGTGCCAACCCACTATTTTCAGTTAACACTAACTCGCGCGCTTACTAGACCCGCAAGCCGACCGCTCTTGGTTCTTCCTTATTCAACGTTCGAGAGATGTATCTCAAACTGAAAGCTTTCCAAAAGCATCTCCTGTCGACTTATAAAACACCACTGAAACTCTTCTTTGCTAAAGTCGATATTCAAGCTTGTTTCGACACCATTCCCCAGAAAGAACTGCTAAAGGTGGTAAACGCGCTCCTAACAGAGGACGAGTATCGCATCCACAAGTACGCCGAGGTAAAGGCGCCAGCGCCAGCCGGGAAAATTGCAAAGAAGTTTGTGGCCAAAGGCGGTTCGGCAGACGGCTTCGAAAGATTTGGCGATCTAGTGAGGGAAGAATGTAATCATGGCTTGCGCAGGAGAAGAGGAACAATCTGGGTTGAGGATGTGGTGCAAGCGTATAAAGAACGGGATCAGTTAATGGGGTTGCTGGAAGAACATGTCCTGGTTAATATTATCAAGGTATGTCCCACATGTCGGCCGACAATTCCTCCATTCTCATATGGCTGATGCTGATCCCCTTTTTTCCTTCTTTTTTTTCAGATCGGAAAAAAGTTCTTCCGTCAAAAGTCTGGTATCCCACAGGGTTCTATTCTTTCCACCATTCTCTGTAACTTTTTTTACGGAGACCTTGAGCGTAAAAAACTCCCTTTTGCGTCGGCCCCAACGGGTGTACTACTCCGGCTTATTGATGATTTCCTGTTCATCACAACTGATCGCAGCCATGCGCAACAATTCTTTCAGATAATGCATCAGGGCCACCCAGAGTACGGTGCATCTGTGAGTATTGACAAGTCGCTGAGCAATTTCGAGGTTATGGTCAATGGACGGAAGATCAACCGGATCGTTGACACGAAGGAATTCCCTTATTGCGGTAACCTGATACATACAAGGACCTTGGATATTAGACGGGATCGAGAAAGAAAGATCGAAAATAGTAAGTGTTGTTCAAGCCCTCCGCTTCCGGATATCGGCACTTGGGCAGAGTTGAACAGTTTTGTTAACCGGCATGTGATATTGATATGCAGTCGTGGATGATACCCTCACGGTGGAGTATTCCAGAAACGCCGGGAGGTCCCTGCACAAAAAGGCAGTAAGGTATATATTACCCCTTTCAGCGTGCCCACTCCGATTAATTCGCACCCTCATTGTGCTATGCATTGGTATTGGCCGGTAGATGACTTGATTTTGTAGCGCCTTCAAGTTTCAAGCACATGCCATGTTCTTCGACACAGACTTCAACGATCTCCAGACGGTGCTCAAGAATATCTACCACAACTTTATCGAAGCCGCCATGAAATTCCACCGTTCCGTCAAAGCCCTCTCGTCAAATCGTCGTCCGTCGCAAAACCTGTTGATAAAGATAGTGGACGACGTCCTCGAGTTCGCCTTTGTGATAGTAAAGAGCTGCCAAGACTCAAAGGTTAAATGTGTGGTGACGCGTGCACAAGTCAAATGGTCCGTATTCTCGCTTATTCTCCCGCCTCCCACACTCTCCCCCCCACGTTTTGGGTAGAGTGGTTGTTGGTAGTACAATCAGCTAACCAAACCGACCACCGGTACTTCATTCCATCCAGGCTTGGAGCACAAGCGTTCAAGACAGTCCTTGCCAGGAAGCAGACGAGCTATCGTGCGTTGATAAAATGGCTCGAAGACACCACTCAAGGTGAGAAGAAGAAGGTTCGGGGCTTGGTGAGTCGGGCTTCATGTTTGGGCGTGGATCCTTTCCCGTCTTTTCGCTACTAAAGTCTTGCGCCCTACGAGTACTATACTCTTTGGGTAGGGAGTTTTTCCGCTTTTGGAGTTGGGTTGTTGGGGTGGGGGGCGGCGGCGGGAAGCACAAGAACCGGTACTTGTATGACACTGTGCAGTACTTGCACAGTTGTACTAGTACTTGAGGATGTTGGGTTGGGTTGCGCTCTGTATGGTTGGACTGGGCGAAGGGAGGAGGGGGTACTTGTACGAATACCGGTGCGATTGTAAATCCAATTGTTTACGGTGTTCAAAAGTTTTCATCTTTGCTTGTTCAGTAGGAGGGGGGGGGGTGGAATGCATACCGTACTAGTGCTCCCGGGGGCATAGGGAGTGTTATTTGTTATCGGTACCATACATTGTGCCTTTATATATACTCGAGTATGAGTGGTTTTGGAAGGGACACGCTAATATCCCCGGGGTTTTGGAGGGGGGGCTTTCATCTTCTCTCCTTCTCCGCTCCCGTCAAGCGAGTTGGGTTTCTTTTAATCGCTTGACCCGCACTCGGATCTTAATTTCGCTATCGCAGAACCTCGTATGATATTTCTTTGACGGTAGAGTGAGAAGGTGGGGTACTGTACAGCGGGGGGCAAAAATACGTTCACATTTTTTTAGGTGTTTGGGCTTACTAAAAATGTGAACGTATTTTTGCCCCCCGCTGTACAGTACTCGTACTCATACAAGTATGATAACATGTTGGACTGGCGGTAAGCCGGACGTGCGGTATCGCAGAAGCGAACCTGCCAAAACAGCCAAAATACCGGCAGTAGAGATCTGGAAATCCCACTCAGCCATGATATCTGCAGACTATTGTGTGGGGCGAAGACAGGTACGGTAGATGGATGTTCTCAGTTTTGGCTTTTTTTCGGGCCAAACTGAACTTGATGGTTTGGTTTTTATTTTGGCCCTGATTCCTCTGGGAAATCCCTAAGGATTGGCTTACAGTACTTCTAAGTCTGCTCTGCTATACCTCCTGGTCGAATCCGTCGAGTTCCGTACAATATTATACAGTATTGGTATTGTTGAGGAATTTGTGATGAAAATAGGGTATCCACCCAATTGAGTGGGATTGCTGTAAATGGTTGCTCTGGTTGCCGTGTTGTTGACTTTTTCCCATCTGCGATGGGGGAATTCTTTTGCTTGGGTTAGCGCTGGGAGGGCAACGGACAGCGCGGCGTTGAGCGCTCGGAGCAGCGATGGTGGTTGTTCGAGACTTATTTGCTTCGACTCGATTGCCGATAAATTTACTGGCTGCTGGTATTGTACTCGTACTAGAATGGGTGCTCAAGTAGACTATTTGGATGGAGGAGGGTTGGACTGGGATACGGTGCAAGCACCGTTCCCGCATAGAGAATCCCAAAGTCCACATATCTCCTTATTCTTCTATTCCTTCCTTCATTCCTTCTCTCTCACTTCTTCCCCCCACCTCTCTCTCTACTGGCGCAGTGCTCCTTGTGTTTACGCACACAAGCTAAAGGATAGGATACAAAGAAGAAGAAAAGAAAGGTATCATACGGTATCATATTCTGGTGCTGTGCAAGGGTTAGGGTCTTTACTCTTGCTTTGCCGCCCAAGACCCCCCCGATCGACTTTTACCCCCTTAGAGAATCCCAGCAGCCTTCCCTCCCATTCACACGATTTAGTGCTCCTCAAGCCTCAAGCCGTCCATTTACGGGTCTCTACGGGTCTCCTCTACCCTCACACTCTCGCACCTTCCCCCCCGCCAACTCACTCGCTTCTTTCATATGCCTATGCATTAATCTTCTCTCTTTTTTTCCCCTTCTCTCAACAAATTATTTCCCACCCTTGATCCAACCCATAAATTGGTTTGTTTAAACTTTTCATTGGGCGATCTTTACCCTCTCTTTTCATTTTGGAAAACCTTTGAGCAAGGTTACGCCCTAAGTTGGAAAAAAAATAATCGAAAAAAATAAATAATAATAATCAAAAAGCCCTAATTATTTTTCGTTCCTGGAGAGACGAATTTAGGCTTTGCTCTACGGATTTTTGTTGGGTTTTGGAGTCGACGTCATTCATTTTTCGACATTGTTTGCCTTTTTGAACCTTTGTCGCCATCTTCGCCCCCTATCCCCCCTCCCTTTGCCCTACTCTTTGACAGATGACAGCGAGCGTTGGTGGCTGGGTCTCACCTCCGGAGCTTGTCGAGGGCGGAGGAACGGGTTCGTCAAAGTCGTCTTCGCTACCATCCAGTTTCCAACTCGACGATGGAAGCATTTGCAATGACCTGGGGGGCCACTTTGAGGAGATTGGGTTGAGTGATGACCACGAGGACCATCACACTGTTCAGATTTCGTCCATGCCGCTAGCCATGCCGATGCCAAAGCCGCCGAGGAATGTGGGGGGCCTGAATGGGAGGCAGTCAATGCTGATGGGGAGGAATGGCGCCACCACAGCCCTGGGGAAACTGAGGGACCTGACACAAATGAAGAGGCCTCCTCTCCCCTCGTCGCAGGCGAGCGTGCATCCCTCGCCTCAGGAGCAAAACCACCTCGGCCCCCCCCCGCGAAGGTCGGCCTCAACCAATGGAACGAACGGGAACCAGAACAGCAAGAATCCACCGCCGAGATCACTTTCGCCTGACCCACCGTCCGCACCGCTCTCCCCAAATATCGTGCCGGTCTCGAATGGGTCGCACGGCGGACAAACTTCTCCGATGACGAAGCCGAGGAGGTTATCCTGGCATCAGACTTCCAACAGGAAGACGGTGGAGGAGTTAGAGAACGAATGTGATTCTGACGACGATGTTCCACCGGACACCATCTTTTATAATGTCCCTCTTTCCCCGCGGTCGGCGAGGGCGTTGTCAGCCGCACCTTCCCCAGAGAGGACATCGCCTAGGGAGCCACTACCAGTCAATGGGGAGGCTACACTGCTACCGACAAGGGGAGCTTCGATGGTGTCCGTACTCGGTGAATCGAGCAATGAGGCGAGAGGCAGGACCCAGTTCCGGTCCAAGAGTTGGAGCGACGCGATGTCGGAGTTGGGGGACGAGGCAAAGGAGTTGAGCGAGGCGCTGGAGAGGCACGTGGACGAGGAGATCGAGCAGACTACAAGGAAGCTACGAAAGTCCGTGGAGAAGAGCAAGAGTAGTGCCTCAATTGTGTCTGGCCCCGTATCGCCTACGCCTATGCCTATCAAGAAGAGTTTTTCCACCACAACGGTTATCCCGCTTCCGCCGCTGCAGATGACTAACGGGATGATTGATCCACTGCCGATCAGTAAAGAGAAGGAAGCTGTGCTATCCAGAACTAGGCCATCGTGGTTACCGCCCAAGTCAAAAGAGGAGGAGAAGAGACATTTGAAAGAGTACAAGAAGATGATGCGCTTGTCGCAGGAAGCGGGTAAGCTACGTGGCTCGTGGGGTTTGGAATGTGTAATCTGACAGTAGCGCAGATCGGAAACGAGCCGAAAAAGAGCGACAAGAGCAAGAGTACAAGGATCGGATCAAGAACGATACCGACAAGGTCTGGGACCAACACATCATACCAAATTGGAGTATCGCGACTCGCAAGAATGAAACCCGAGAGCTCTGGTGGCAGGGTGTCGCTCCCCGATGTCGGGGAAGAGTCTGGCAGTTGTCGTTTGGCAATAATCTTACAGTAGGCCCGGAAACGTTCCGGCTGGCGCTGAAACGGGCACAGGATGTGGAGGATGGATTGAAGAAGAGTCCGGCAATGTACTCGCTCAAGGAGAGGGAACTGTTCAATGCCATAAGAAGGGATGTGAATAAGACCTTTACAGAGCTCAAGATTTTCCAGGTAAGTTTTGTGAGGGTTTCCCCCCCGAACTTCTTTCTGGATTGCTATTGGGCGGTGGTTGACAATTCAGTTCCAGGAGAAGGGCCCGCTTCATCAGGGTCTATTGGAGGTACTGATGGCTTATTCCATGTATCGAAGCGATGTTGGATACGTTTTCGGCACGCACGTGGGTTATTTTCCTTCCCGGTTTCAACTAGGTGGGTCGCTAATTATGCTATAGGTTGTCGCCGGGTTACTCCTTCTGAACCTCTCCCCGGAACAGAGTTTCACCACGCTTGTTAACCTTCTAAATCGTCCTCTACCATTAGCCTTCTACACACAAGACGAGGGAGCGGTAATTGGTTCTCCCCAAATCCATGCAATCTTTCATTACTAATTCAAACTAGATGTCCCGAGTCTACAACCTCTTCCTCAAAGCCTTCAGATACAAACTCCCCTCATTGTACCAACACATCCACGTGATCCTCAACCTCCCACCACCAGTGTATCTGGAAGCTATGTTTTTGACGCTCTTCACCCTGCACTGCCCCATCGACATTGCATCCCGCATCTGGGACATTTACTCATTCGAGGGTGACGCATTTCTAGTTCGTACCGCGATAGCGGTAATGACCGTCTTAGAGTCTAGGCTCTACGGCGACGCAGAGGAGGTGGTTAGTCTCCTCGGCTGGAACGTGAAGCGCAGATGGGAACTCGGGAAGGAAGATGAGTTTATCGCGGTTGTTAGGTCTGCCGGTAAGGAGGAGGATAAGTCGAAGAGGTCGAGTTTGGAGCCTTCGGAGGACTAGTGGGTTTTGGTGTTGCCGGCGACCCTTCTTTTTCTCGCCCCCCCCCTTTTCTTTCCCAAGGGATATATTGTGACTTGTATACTCTTTCCTTCTCTCATCTATTTACCGTATTTGAGTTTTTTTTTCTTCTTTCCTTTCCCCCCATTTCTTTTCTTGCCATATTACTTTTGCGTTTGCCTTTGGTTTGGGGTGATTGGCGTTTTTTTCTTTTCTTTTCCTGTTTAGAGGAGGGCGAGAGTCAGCGGTGCAAGGTTGGGGGGGAGGGTTGACTGTTGCTGTTTTTTTCATCGTTTTTTTTGCCCTTTTCAATGTAGCAAGTATTTATTGCTTAAGATACTGGAGCACCTCGGGGAATATAGACTGGCAGGGAGACGAAGGGACTGGACTTTTTTTGTGAGAAAAATTGAATTGTGGGATGAATATTTCTTTCTTTGTAAATTGTGTGTTGTGGGGGGGGGGTTGTGTTGGCAGATGGTTGGGGGTGAAGGGCGAGTGAGAAGTTGTGAATGGAATACGGAGAACAGGGGTAATGATAGGATAGAATAATAAGATAGAATAGAATAGATTTTGTTTAGCACTCATGCTCGCTGGTGGGGAGGGGACGCGCTAGTTTGGGGGAAGCGAGCGTGTAAGGATTCCCGATTCGCAAGTGACCGTCTATGTCCCGGTATACCTCAAAACGCGGTAAATCTGTCGTCTTTCCATCCCGGCCATGCCAATTACCATCCACTCGTTCGTTACCTGTCATCCCCTTCCAGCCCACCCTACTATTGCTGCCCCGTGTCAATACAGCCCCCAACTCTCCCCTAGCACTCTCCGCCAAGTGAATAGAAATACAGAGCAATATCAACCCACAGGGACACAAAGGCTAGAAACAGCGCCGAAGCCAATTCCACCCGGAAAAAACCGATACCCATAGTATCTCTTTGTAGCGTCGGGAAAAAATGCCAAAGAGATGTAGGGTGGGGTGGGGATCTTCATCTCCCGATGATCCCCCTGTTCTGTTCTATTCTGTTCCGGTCAGTTCAGCGGCGGTGCTGACTGGCTGACCGACTCCCCCCACTATCCTACTGAATCCTCTTTCGGCTCGTTGGCTACTGCGATTGGGTGGGATAGAGCGCCTGATTGTCGAGAGGGGAGGGGGAGTTCGGTTGGGTGCTGGTTCTGCCCTGAATAGTATCATACCCGGTACACGGCTTTTGTATTCTGTTCTGTTGGGTGGTGTGTAACTCCCGAGGCTGTTTTCTGGCGCTGGGGTTTAGCCTGCGGAAAGGGTTAGGGGGGTTGTACTTGTACCATATAAGCTGGTGTGGAATGCCATGTGGTAGGTGTGATGTCAGTATCGTGTATGGTACTGATGAATGCCGTACTGTACAAGTACCTTACTTTGTGGGTGCTTTGTAACTCGCTTGCGCTCAACCCTTGTCTGTCTGTCTGTCCTGTGTGAGCCCACATCCGTTGTGTGTGTCTAGGCTGATGTATAGAACTGGGAATCCCCCCCCCCCCCGGTGCATTTACTGTATCACCTTTTCGGAAGAAGAAAAAAAAAGCTACTACTGATGGCTACTACCGGGTAAGCCGTAGGTATTTTCTTTCTACCTTTTGTGGATAAGGAATCCCACCTCCGAGTTTTCCGTACGGTGCCGGAGCGGTTTAGTTTGGTATGCCATCTCTCACTCACCCCCGTCCGGCTTTCAAATCCCGTCCTGGAGGCCCCGGTTACCGTTGCTGGAGGTAGGTAGGTACAATAGGTAGGTATGATAAGTTAGGCATCATAGGCCACTCGTCATTTCTGAAGGTTGTATGATACTCACGAGACGGCAGCGGCCGGGGCAGGAACTGAAGAATTCGTGGATGACTGGGAGCTATTCTGGAGATGTATCGTGTTGTAGGGGGCGAAGAGGGAGAGAAAAAGAAAACAGGTATAGGATTGTCAGGAACGATTACGTGAGTAATGGTAACCTTCTCAGGCATTTTCACTGGTTTTCCCTTGAACGCGTGGGATGGGCAAGTAGTCGTACAGTTGTCGAGGTGAAGGGACTACGGAAGCTAAATTATAATAATATTATGATACACCCCGCCTGTATTTCCTTAACTCTTGCCTTGGGGTATGTATCGTATATCATCCACGTCTGAGTCAGAAACTTCCAGCTTTCATATATAACAAAACATGATATCAGTGTTTTACCAGAAAGGCTATGATATCTGGCAATTTTTTGCAATCCGACATATATATGGAAAGAGAAAGAAAAAAAAAGGTAGGAGAGGTTATTCGAGTAGAACTTGCTCTATATCGCGAAGGAAATGGCATCGGGTGCATCTTCTTTGTCACCAGATTCGACAATATCACCACCGGGGTGCTAATAGTAATTTAGCATGTGACATTGACATGGTAATATAAGTGTGTTTCGGTTCGTCTCCGATAGCTTGGGATGAGGTTTAGTTTGACGGGTTGACGGAATTGCGAATACTAGTTAATGAGATCCAATAATACCTGTCTAGGGGTGATCTCGCATCGTTGCCGGAAAAGCGCTGATCCCTTCTCAGGAGTTTTAACTGAGGACTCGCAGTGGGGTGATGTTTGTGAACATGACCGCTATTGTGGCTGCTAAACTTTTGACTGCGAGAGGGTGAAATGAAGGGTTGTATGATAGGGGGGGATTCTTTTCACTTTGTTGAGAAGAAGCGGAAACAAACACAAATATTCTTGACCACCGCCTTCCCCCCCGTTTTTCTCTCTTTTCCACCAGGCTCTCCATCCACTCATTGTGCTATATGCGTATCCTTTCTTCTGTATTCACCGCCTCACGCTCGAGTTGAACGGGGCAATAGTATGGCCACGTGAGGAAAAGATAGATTATCTCCTCTGGAACATAAATTCCATTGGGTAGGTCTTTATTGAGTGGGTCTACTCGAGTAGTTGTTGAAGATCGGAGGACAAAATACTCACTAAAGGGTCGTGAAACTCGGGAACGAGCAAAGGGGTGTATGCCATCCGCCGTTCTGCACACCACCTACAATCTCGCAATCTACAATCTTGCAGGTTGCTTGCGGGTCTGGGGGATAAGCAAGAGACTGCAGGTAGGAACAGTCAACTCTGCGCACTACTGATCCAGCTACCATAACGATTACGGCGATAGTGGGACCAGGTGGCTGGAATCGACAAACGTTTCCTTGACTTGGGAAAAATTTCTTTCCCATATATTAAAGCAAGTAAGACTGTTTCACAGCTTGCTTACTTTAATTATAGAAATTTGGAACCCATGGACTTACTATTGGTAAACCATGGTGACCTTATAGCACGAATGAAGATTGCTCTGGTTGTGTTTTTGGGCTCAGGTTCAAGTTATTCCTGAATTCAAATTTTCATTTTTTCTGACAATAGCTGGTAATTTATGGGATGCACAGACGGTAACACGGTGGGGAAAGTGGTAAACGCATGTATCCCTCACATTATCACTACTCGAGTAGTGCTACTGGTAGTTCCGTGCCTACACCGGCGGGATCCATTGAGGGATAGCTCAATACATAGCAGTTGCTGACACCTTGTTAGCACGGGAGCGGGAGTGCGCCAAGTTTGACCAAGATTTTTTCTTCCCCTTTTCTTTGGCATTGTGGGCCCGGGGATGAGTATCATATGAATTGACGATTTTGTTGTGGGGTTGGAGAGCGAGGTTACTTTGTTAGGCGTTAGTCTAGTGTGCCTGCACTCCTAAAGCTCGAGTAATATTATATAACGCCCTCACCAATTTTCCAGTGAATTGATTAGTAACCATAACACTTAAAGTATCGTACCTTCCTCCGCTTTCCCTCAACTCTGGTAGAAATTTCATCAAGAGACCCTACCAGAGCTCTAGAACCTATCCTCCATGACACATCCTTTCAAGCGACAAGGGGCAAAAAGTTGATACGAGTAAAGAATTGAAGAGGTCGGCAGATCTCTGACACCACCCCTCAGAGGTGAAATCCTTCACTATATGTATATATCTAGTGTGAAGTGTCTATCTCTCACATCTATTGTATCCTGTTGCTCTTCCCCTCCTCAGTGATAAACATGGCAAATTGAATAAGCAATACGGTACCCTATTTCTGGATGCCATGCTATACAGATCTTGTAGCGTTCTATTCGTGAGGGGGGTGGGGTTGTCTTCCTTTGCCGACAGAAGGAAACATACGTTCCACGAATGATCCTGAAAGGACTAAAGGAGTAGTATAATAGCGTCAATGATACAAAAACCTCCCATGGATTACAGCGAGATTAGCATTACCCAGGCCGAGCAGCTTTTTATTTATCGTACAGGAGCGTTTGTAAAAGTAAAGTGTGAAGTAGAGCGAGAAGGAAAAGAACAAGACAAACGTATCTGCGAAAGAAAAAGAAAGAAAAAACCCCCCAATTATAAAACAAAACAACTTTACGAGTGGGAACTGTGGAGGAAACGAGGCTCTGCAGTTTTACAAAAATATTGGTCAAGGTTTAATCATGTTTTGGTTAGGTTTTTTTTTTTTTTTTTTTGATATGTTGGCTGGAAAGTTTGTGCTAAGAAAGAGAAAAGAAAAATTTCTCCTGTAACTAAGCAAGCGAATCAACAATACGAGAACCACGAATACAAACTTGTGAACCACGAACCGAGTGAAATTGACTTGTGTACAGTACAACGTAGTGAAAGATAGCTGAAGGACTGTGCTACTTTCTTTCCTGTGATACAAACTGCTTGATTTATATTACTTTCCTTTTTCTTCCCATTGTTCTCAATACAAACTTTACCGATCATCTACATCAGGGGGGCTGTTTTCCAGGAACGAAAAATGCTCTTTCAGAACCAAATGTAAATACGCCGCTGGAAGTATGAGATGAATTAGAGATGCCAGATAAAGCCTTTCGAATCACGGACGAGTATATATTTATATACTATAAACAAATGTTAGTGTGCTAGCAATGTAGGATTATAAGTGGGTTTATCCCGCTTGTCCATGTAATATTCCCAGTAGCTTATATCACGCCTCCTTCATGTCTCTCTCACTTCCCCTTCAGAATGTAAACTCTCTTCCTTCCCCCCCCCCCCCCTAAAAGGCCTTTCTAGCGCTCAGTGCGATACCAGGTCCCGCTTTCCATTCTTCTCATTGTTTTGCAACCCGAATGTGTAGGCGCAGCTTCCCGAGTTAGCTCTCCCCCGCCGTCAGATTATTATTATTTTTTTAAAAAAGAAAAGCCTCAAGTGGATGGGTGGGTAGAATGAATACGGTAGTAGGGTGATATGGTACGATTATGGCTCAGCGAGGTTCTGTAGACTACTGTAGTACCAGCTGGCTATAGGATACCAGAACACCTAATTTTTAATTATGATACTTTCCACATTTCCTGAACGCATAGATAATTCACCTATTACACCCGCCCTTCCAGGCCGGGGCGGGGTACGTTGAACGATATCCCCCTCTCTCCCTCACACGCACACACAGCTCTTTCGCGATACCACGCTGCGAAGAATTTACGTGATGTGCCCGTTACTTCACTAACGACCTACGGTGTGTAAGGCGAGCACGGAAATAAGGGGGAAAAAAAAAAAAGTCTTGAAAGCCCCCACGCTCAATTCCCTCACGGTAGTTGTTCCCTTCACACTACCCTTTGTGGCAAATGTTTAGGAACATCCAGGAGGAATCCAGATTCAAATTGATCCCCGATTTATTTCCCCAGTATCGTACCTAAGACATAGAGCCGTTCTCAGTCGCGTTCATCCCGTGCCCGGATAATCAATAATACCAGATGAACCGAAACCCGTATCATGCAACGACGACGACGCCATTGGGCCAAGACGTCCGATCGCCGTATGTGGGTGGGTAGGTATCATAGGAGGATTAACGAATAGGAAGGAGTATCCTGCGACGAGAACTAGAATCGAACTCCTGGTCTTCAAGTTCTATCCCCCCTCCCCACTTTCAACCGATGCGACGGACTTATCGCGGTACGGTACATTTTTAACGCTTCTCATGATATTTACCATACCATCCCAAAGTATGATAGCAAAGAACCACCCCTACCTGCCCCAACTATGATACAAAACCGAACCAAACAAAACCGCCGCCGAGGAACCCACCTACGCCGGACGTCCGGGCTTGACGCGGCGGATATGTAAAGTTCTAGTGACAATAGAATACTGTTCTGCATAACCTGCCCACCAAGCACCGGGAACGGGGACGGGGACGTTGGGAGCACTGTACGGGGCGTGGAGTTGTGTGATGAGGGGTGCGGTGGTTTGGTGGAGCGTGTCATGGAGGGCGAGTGATTGTTTGTGATGATGGTGGGGGTGGGCTTGGATTGGATTGGTCTGGCGTCAGTATGGAGTATTCGGGGTTCTATGGGGAGGGGGAGGGAATGGTGAGGGGCGGAGGCCCGGGTGATTAATGGATAACATGAGGGGGAAAAAAAAAGTATTCAAGGTAGAGTCGTAGTTGTAGTTGCAGCTGCAGTTGCGCCTTCCTAAAAATACAGCACGGTACTAACTTACCGCCGGTTCGCGAATTTATGGCAAACGTATGCACACTCCCGATAGGTATGATACCACATATTATCCCGCCTACCCAGCACGCACCAACCATTCTAACAGATACAGAGCACCCATTTTATTTCCAAATAGCGAAAAAGAAAAATGAGAGAAAAAATGAAACCCTCTCAAAGTAAAAAGAACAACTACTTCTTTGAAGGCCTCTTCGCCGCAGTTTTCCTTCTGGGCAAGCCATCGCTTCTCTCCACCTTTTTCGCAACACCTTTCTTCTTCCTGGCCATTTTCTTGACAACGACCTCTTCGCCGGCGGAGCTGGTGACGACTTCCTCGTCCTCGCCCGCGTCCTCCTCGCTGTCGTGCGCTTCATCCCCCGTGGTAGTAGCATTACGTCCGGGAATGAGTCTTCCGATGGTCTTGTCAAATATCCATAAGGGCAATGTAACTAGTAGAGTGTTTCTAATCTTGGGGCCTTCAATCTCGTCGAGGTCGAGCATCAGGTGTACATCTTTCCCGTTTCCGTCCTGCTCAATGAGATAGACGGATCCAGCGCTGTCCACCATAAGAACTTTTCCATTGTCGGCTTGGACCCGGCGCTTGGTCATGTGTTGAGTGGACGGGGTTGCAGACCCGGACCTAGAAGATTCCTTGACAGCCTTTCCTTTTCCCGCGCGCCTCTCCGCTCTGCTCAGCTTCTGCTCCCCACCGGTAGCTTCTCCGCCGGGAACGGCGGCTTCAAGGGCATCGTTCAACCCAGGAATCCCACCTTTGCCCCACGCAGCGGTCCTCGCGTTCTTAATATACTCGCGCATGAACTCCTTCTGGCGCTTCGAATTCAGCCAGAGAATACCGTAATGCATGGCCCCAGAGAACAAGAACAATCCCACAAGCACACTCCCCAAGCCGGGTCTGAACCGCGAATAGTAATACCCCGTCCCGCGCCACCTCGGAAACCCGTTCTTGAGGAAGTGGTCGTAGCGCTCACGTCCCGGGCCGGTGAGAACGGCGACCACGAGACGGAAACGAGCGAAGCGTTCGGAGGCTTGCTTGTGCAGCTCGGAGAGTTGTGCCTGAGTGTAGGTTACACCTGGCGGGGGCTTGGGCTTGTGCTTGTCCGGGTGCATGCGGACGGACTTTTTCTTGTAGGCTTTTGTTATGTCGGATTGGGAGGCTGAGGGGCCGTTCTTGAGGCCGATGAAGTCTGGTCGAATGAGGGATCAGTTAGTTGGGGGCTTAAGCGGGGGAAGAGAGGGGAGAGGGACATTACCATAGAAGGTGGTATCTTTCCCCTCGTGGAGTTGGACCTCATCGTGGAGGCGGAAGATTTCGTGATCTGGTATATGTGTCAACATGTATTCGCTGTGGACGGATTTTTACCCTGCAGCACCGGTGATAACGTACCCTCTTTAGACCACGCAAACGCAGAAGTCGCGAGACTCGCTATGAGCATGAGGACGAGGAATGGAGACCTCATGGTTGATGGATTGCTATTTTCCAGTTGCTCAGCGTTCCTGTGTTGCTGGGGAAAAGAGGGAGAAGGGTAAAGGAAAGAAAGAAAAGGGAAAGGTGGTCGTTTGGTGTTTCAGATGATAATGTTGGCCACAAGTGCCGGTAGCGTTTTTAAGTCTTGGCATTCTCACTCGTTCCTACCGCGATGGAACAAGCAAGTAAATTTACTGGTAAACTAGCAGCGGGCCGAAAAGTCCTACTAATTGGGCCTCCATTCCGGGCGTTTGGGCATAGCTTTGCAGAATTGAGGCGAAAGTGGAAATGCAGATTGCGCAGCTCCCCTCGGGCTTTTGTTGCAGTGCAAGTATGATACCCATGGAGAACCTTTTCGCACAAGACTGGGATTGTTTTACGGTATGGGTTAACTTCAAATAACCGTTCCATAACTTCTTGCCGGACTTGCACTTGCGGGGGTGAGGTGTTACCATACGAGTCCAAAGGCTAGGCAGGAAGTTATGGGACTGTTGTTCAAGGTTAACCGGACAAATATATCCTGAAGGTTCCAGTTAATCGGGTCTTACTCCTGTACCCCGGGGACGTTTTCCTACAGGGCAGGGAATTCTTGATGTTAACCTAACCTAACAGTTCACCAACTTTTTTACATGTATAGGCTGTCTTCAAAAATCGCTGACACCTCCCCCCCCCACTTTACACTGAAAATGGGCAATTTCACTTTGCAAAATCTCAGCCTTTTCACCCTGTAAAAATTTTTAAATTTGCTAGAGCCTTTGGAGCCATCAAGATATCACCATTCATAAGTGACAAACTCTGTTGGTTGATGGCCATGGTGCAATACAAGGAATAACAATTGTGAACGAAAGATACTTCTAATCCTATATGGGTTTCCCATACAAAAGGTACTCGTACATTGCAACAGCACACAATCTGGCCACACAGCTCTCAGCTCTTAGCTCTCAAGGTGGAGTGGAAAAATTGAGATAATTTTTATGCAGAGATTCTGGGTAATTCCCCACACAATGGAATTAATTTCCTTAATTCTCAATTGCTTTTGGATGAATTGAGCATGTTTAAAATCAGACATTTTTGGTGTAAAATGGGGGGGTGTCAGCGAATTTTGAAGATAGCCTCGTCATGCTCTCAGGACCGCACCCATTCTTGAAGTACGGTAGACTATGATACTGTAGTAGGGGGTTCGAAGCCCTCGGTACAACAGTCAGTGCACAAATTTTTTTTTTTGTTAAATCCGCAGTTTATTTGTAAACTAATACAGGAAAATCCATGGTATAGACACTAAGGTATGACCTAAAAACCCATAAAACAAAAGAAACGCTACACCCCCAAATAACAATTTATTGATGAAACATCACTATCTCCTCCTAACATTTATTGCAATACAATTTAGTCTTTCAAGATGCCAACCCAGCATTTCTGGTAAAAAGAAAAACCCCCATCCTCGTCAGGTAATTAATCCTATTTCTTAGCATATAAAGAACAAAATCCCTCAATAAGGAACCCGCCCTCTCGCCCCTTTTCCACAGCCCTGAATCCGGAGCCACGTTGAAAGCTTTTGGTGACAAACCTGTCCTGGCCTCAGTCAATGCCGGGCATTCCATGACAGGTTGTAAGGTTTTTTTGGGGCCCCGCAGTATCTGCTGTATGTGTGATCCCGGCCTTGGTTGGACCAATCTCTGTGCGCATTGAGATAGCTTTTACGGGCCCTCATTTGGTGAATCCGTCCAGCCTGAAACTTCGGTAGAGTCATAAAACTCCAACAGTCTCGAAACGGGGGCCTATACTTGTAGTAATGTGGGTATGGCTGCTGCACCCACTCTTGCCATATCTCTTTTCTAACCTTATCCTTGGACTTCAAGTAAGCCTCTGCATCCTGCTGCGTGACCTGGGCTAATTTGGATGGTTTCATTAGTATTCCAGCATCCGTGAAAATCATCACCACTACAGCAGCCACTTCATCCATCAGGAGCTGTACCTGTTATGTAGTTGTGGAGCTCGAGATCCAAACCTTGGGCCTCATTTCCCCTTTATTTGTATTGAAAGCTAGTCTCCTATTCGTCTCAACTCTAAACCTACTGTCCGTTGGGAAAGCCATTGGGAACATAGCAGTTGCAATGTTGTTTTCCAAGATCGCTGTGGCTAGGCACACCGTGGCCACCTTCTTCATCTGCTCCACATATAGTGCTATTGGGGCTAGGCATGCCTCTGCCGACAGGACTGTGGTGTTCGTCGCATAGAACGTGTTAGTGACCCACCTGGCCACTCTGTTCTAAAACCTCTGCATTTTCCCTACCATCACCTTTGATAGGGCAAATACTTCCGCCCCATACAGCAGCGTGGGCAGTAAAATCCCTTTTTCCAGCCTCCTCGCCCCATATGGTGCGAGGCCCTTCCCCGGCATTGGCCGTCTTTGTATCCTCCAAAAGGCTGCCTTTGCCAACGACAACCATTTCTGGAAATGAGAGCTAGTTTCCCCATTATTGGCCAACCAGTATCCCAGCCATCTGACCAGGTTGCTGGTGGGCTTGACGACATGAGAGTGTGTATTGACTGTGTGACTAGGCCTAGGGCCCTTCTCCTTCCTCTTTCTCCAATGCATGAGTTCTGTCTTTGTCAAGCTGAAAGACAACTCCAGGCTCTGTGCCCTGGTGACTATTTTCTCAGTTTCCGCCTCAAGAATCCTGGAGTTATTGTACCATGAGTGTGGCGCTACTGTAATCTGGAAGTGGTCGATATATGATGAAGTAAACATCTCCTTCATGTCACCCACCGGATGTAACAGCTGAATGTATATGACGAAAAGAAGTGGAGATAATGGTGAATCTTGTGGTATCCCTTTATTGACTGTGTGATCCCTCCAGGGGCTCCCGGGATATGCAAGGGAGATATTTCTTGTCGTTATAAAACTCTGTATCCAGTTGACAAGGTATAGGGGAATCTGATCAACATCCTCTAATCTATCCAACAACTTCATGTGATCTACGTTATCGATGCCCCCTTTCACATCCAAGAAGATTGTAGATACCTTCTTCTTTGCAAATTGTACTTCTTTGACCCAATATTGAAGTGACGCTACCGCATCCACCGTAGACCTTTGGGGCAAGCTGCCAGTCTGATTTATACAGTAGAGATCCTGATTGTATGCGATTTTCATTAACCTCGAGTTCACTATGCATTCCGCCATCTTAGAGAAAGTCTGCATCAAAGCTATGACCCTGAAGCTCGAGCATTCTGCATAGTTTTGCTTATTTGGCTTTGGTAGTATGATACCAGTCGACTGCTTAAGCACTGGGGGATGGATCCCCCATTTGAGCAGATCCTCGATCAGCCTTGGTATTATCTCCTGGTTCACGCTATGGATTCCTTTCCAAACCCCATAAGGCACCTGGTCCAGCCCCAGGGCAGACTTATTGCTGCACATCCACAGCACCTCTCTCACCTCTTCCTGCATAACCTGACCTCCCTCTCCTAGTTCTTGCCTACTTGGGACAGGTATGGAGACTTGGTCTTCGTTTGCGGGGAAGAAGTGTTGCATTATCGTTTCTTCAGTTCTTTCAGGTATCGTGTTGGCTCCCCCTGGCGTTCTATTAGGCACCCTCTGTCTAGTGAACTGGTGAGCCGTCCATACATCATTCTTCTTGGCATTTGCTAGGAAGTCATCCCAATGTACTCTCTTTGCAGAATTCAGCGCCTTTCTGTATGTCTTCTTTGCCTCATCTCTCTCTTCTACCCCTGTCCTGTCATGTCTCACACACTGGACAGCAGAAGTGTATATCCTCCTCAACTAGGTAATTTCAGGTGTCCACTACACCTTCGACCATCTTGTTGGTTTTTTCATCGGTGCCCAGCTTCGAACAGTATGGATCAGCCTGTTCAGGCTAGTTTGAAAATTATTTACTGCCTCGCTTGGCTCTAATATCGGTTCGTATCTATTCGGGCTATCCATATATTCTCTCAAGGCCACCTCAATGATGGGTTTGGCTCATCTTTCTCTGTTCGCCATTTAATTTGCCCCCAGTCTGGAGCAGGTCTGGCACGCTCTACCTCTTCGCTATTAACTTCGGTAAGGATAACTATATGGTCCAAGCTTGTTCTTTGGTACAGATCCCTCCATTTTGCTATCCTTGGCAGCATTGCCGCATTTGCCAAGGAATGATCGATTGCAGAGGCCCTGTGTATTGTCAGGTAGTCTGGGAACCTGGTGTAGATCCCAGGCATGTTTCGGATGTTATAGCTGTATAATACTGCACATATACAGCTCACCCTGTCGTCACTCTCTGTGACTGAGGTCTCGATGGGGGTCCATGAACGAAGTGTGTAAGTTCAAGTCTTCCACCACCAGGGTAGACTCTCGCTCCTTGACAAACAAACTAGCGGGCTCAACCGTGTTGACACCCTCTACCTGCCTATTATAAACATTCAATAAACCAAAGGAAAAACTTCTTCCTACAAGCCGCCTTCCTCTGCCAAAAATTCTTAAGTATAACACATCGTCAGCCGCCAGCACTACCACAAAGGAGACATGCGCCGACAATCTTAAGGAAATATATGTTACCACCCTAATCTTAGAGCTATTTTGAAAAGCACACTCATATCCTGGTGCTCTTAATGGGACCCTACCATACAGTGGCGGATTCTGAATACATACAAAAGAAACATTAAATCCTTTAACTATGTGAAATAAGGAAATAAAAACATCATTGCTCCCCCTGCAATTATATTGTACAACTGTAATGATCCCTCCTTGGATAGTTAGTTCTTGATGATGGGGAATGATACATCTCTTCTTCTTCTTCTTCTTTCTTCGTCTTATGATAGCACTAGGCCTCTGCCTACGTTATTGATAGTACAAGACCTTTGTCTTCTATTGGAAACACCTATCGTAAGTTTTCTCTAACTCTTCTGCGTGAAGAGCTCTCCTTGGCGTAACAATATCGTTGCAATAAAGATAAAGATCGTAAAAGTGTTTTTAGATTTGTTAAAGTAATAAGTAGGAAAAATACTTAGAACAAAGCGTGAAGAACCTATCCTCCTCGGCCGCATTGGCCTTCTTATATAGTGTTCTTCCCGCCCATAGTCATGGGACCCAAAATGG